GACCTGATTCTCAAGGCCAGATTCTGTTCTCAAAAGTTAATTTTCAGAAGTAAGAGTCAAGTCTTGAGGATTAAGATGGGAGTGACTGTCAATTTTCTTTTTAAAACACAAGGCCTCATCAGCTTTTACCGAACATGATCATCTAGCTTCCAGAAGATGAACCAATGCAACCTATGTTTCACAAGAAAACATAAAGGTATTATTTTGCAATAAAATCAAACTAGCTCAGTCAAATCACATGATGCTCAATTTATTGACAAGGTAGTTAATTACTGTAGATTTATAGCATAGTATATGAACATCTTATATAATAGTTTCAAAACTCTCTTCTTTTAGGAGAAACACAAAAGATGAACTTGTGTCAGTCACTGACCAGTGCTATGGATCTTATTCTTGAATCTGATTCATCTGCAGGTAATTTGCATTCATCTGTTACACGTCATATTATAGATAATTAACAAGTAGGTGACCTATAATAATCATGATCTTCTGGTTTTAGTGTAGTCCTGAATAGCACTGTTGTTGACAGTAACTGACATTTCGAAAATCTGTGCGGTAATCATCTTCAGAGTCAAAGTGAGTTGTATCATATCAGTTGATTGTATGAACTCTGGTTATTGACCTGGATCTTATTCTTGAATCTGATTCATCTGCAGGTAATTTGCATTAATCTATGTTACAGGCTTTCTCAATAAAGTAACCAACAGTTTTTTTAAAAATTGCACTGTCGATCTTTTGAGGATAATTTATTAATTTTAATGCAAACGTCCGAATCAGCTTTTAAAAGCTATATTTCAAAGCAATTTTTTTTACTAATTAGTCTTGCTTGCGTAAGCAGCAAGACTTATAAATTGCAAAGCGTTTTTTGCCATATGTAGGACACAAAAAGGGGGTCATTGTGCAAGGGTTTCCTAGCGGAGACCGTGGAAACTGGGACTTAAGAATCTTTGCATGATCAAAGCCATGCATGTTTTGCAAAGAAAGCTTAGGAAAGATTAAATATAGAGCTTTTCCAAAATGTGTCGGTCCACGAATTCTATCACTTAAAAGCGTTGATTACTTTGGAACAAGTGAACACTACCGAGTAGTTGAAAAAAAAAATAGGAATCTTAATTAGCAAAACTGCGATGGTCTGGTTTTGTAAACTTTCATGGTATGCAAATGGGTCTTGTGACAAGCATGCAGTTTATTTTCGGCGATGATTGAAATGACGTGCCATCTAAATTACTTTTTTGATCTCTGACAATTATGTGATTTTTCTGGAATTGGGACCCTTGAATTTTCGTGTATTAGACACGTGTATAACCTGCGACCGCAGACGTATTTTTGGTTGTCGCCAAAACACACGTACTAAATCAATTCAGAAACAAATATAAATTAAGAATCGATGTTGATAAAGGAGGAAGTAAAAAACTTTTAGAGAGTAAATCCTGTTAGGTGTAGAATTAATTTCCACCTCATTTCTTGATCTAATCTCCAAGCAAGCGAGACTGAATGCCGTTCTTGTTTGATTTGTTCTAGTCCTTTGGAAGTCAAAGCCTTAAAAAAACGTGTAGGGGTTTTCTCAGTTTTGATTGCTATCAAAAGTTACAGAACAAATTGGAAATAGTCCTTCCCTTTAGTCCTTCAGGAACGCTGTGTCGAGTCATGATTTACATGTGAAAGAAAAACATTCCTGATTATTCATCCACTGGCCATGGAAATTCCTGCAAAAAACACCATAGGGCTGTCAATCAAAAGACTAACTTTTACTTCCAGTGTAAAAAACCATCATTTCTCCGCCAATAGTTACTCTCTTCCAAAATTTCTTTCTTTATCATAAAGATCACACTACCTTTACTTTGAGCCAAAAATCAAAATTTTAACAAAATTTTTCGTCTAAAAGTATCTGGTGTTAACAAAAATGATAATATTTTCCCCTTCCTAGTGATATTCGGAGAGGATGTTGCCTTTGGTGGAGTATTTAGATGTACTGTTGGATTAAAAGACAAGTATGGTTAGTATAACTAATCAGTTAGTGCGCAGCCCTTTGAAAACCTCAGATTTCATTGGTTCCTCATAACATGCAGCTCCATTAATTGTTTTAGGGGTAGAGTCATTGTTTAATATATTTCTATGTCTATTGTTTTCACAGCCAATACTGTGAGGCCTTGTAAAGAGTTGCATGGCGCCGCTAACTAATCAGCTAATGACATATACACTCAACTATATTAATTATTGCAGACCACAAGTTAAGCCTCTTTTTTGCTTTTTAGCAATAGTCTGTAAAAGTGGGATATGAGAAGAATGTTGTGTCCAGCACGTTGACACCACAGAGTTTGACTTTCATAAGACAGTGACTTTAAAGGATTAAATACCTTTGTTATTTGTATCGACTTTGGTTTGTGTTGCCTCATTGATTTTATCGAAACAAAGAACGTAGTCAGTGTTTTTCATTTGTCTTCATACCGTTTCCGGGTAGCCTTCTGTAGTGTTATAAACTGTACTTGTTCTTTGTTGTTTTTCTCAGTCATCCATTTCCTTTATCATAACTATGATATTCCTCCCCAAAGCCACATTAAGTTCTAAAATTGTATTTTTAAATGGAATTTTTAAAAGCACTTTTTTTGAGATTGAGTGGAAGAGTAACAAAAACGTGTTGAGAAATCTCTCCTAATAATTTATTATTAAGGCAATTTTCTACACATGTGCATATCACCTAAAATCAATTCTGATTATAGTTAAAAAACTCGAATAATGCAGAGTTAAATTCTGCGAAACTATGAAGTATTTGCGGTAATTTAGATTCCTCTTATACTGTGAACTTACAGCGAATTATGGCATTTTTATGTCAATATTTGTGACGTCATTTCACCGCTTAAATGACATTTTATTCTCTAGTAACAAATTTATCCATAATAAGCATGAAATATTGATTAAGATAACCAAAAAATGTCTCTGGATATGTTTTTGACCTTTGTTTTTCAGATTCTTGCCCTGTCTATTACCAATGGACATCACAATCAATCTCCCTCAATGAAAGTTCTATATAACAAATACTCCATACTTCGTTAATTACCCTTATAGTGTCGTTTTACCTTACTGTAGGTAAAGACAGAGTGTTTAATACACCAACAACTGAACAAGGAATTGTTGGTTTTGGTATTGGGATGGCAGCAGCCGGTGCTACAGCGATAGCAGAGATTCAGTTTGCAGACTACATCTACCCTGCCTTTGATCAAGTAAGTTAAATTACATCAATATTTTCTCTTGAGTATTTTAACTACAGTCAAACCTCCGTATGTGACCACCTATTGTAACATAAGTGACCACTTAATCCAAACACCGAGTGTTTCTCAGTCAAAGCCCTGTTGTTGGAACCTGTCGCAAACAACCACCTAATACTTTTGGGGGTTGATAGTCTTATAATTTTCTGTAGTCTTAAACCTCTTGTAAACGACCACTCCTTGGTGCAATATCATTATATGGTCTGATCTCTTCATTCGCTGTGAGTACTCTAATATGCTACTTTCATACAAGAAGCTTTTAGCAATAACATGGAACTATATATATACACACTTCATAACTTAGAAATTTCATGAAATTTAGCTTAAATTTATTATGTCCCGTGAAGTAGATGAGTCTGAACCTCTTCTCAGAAGAAACCCCCCGTGGTTCGATTCTCAAAAGCATTCACCTACTATAGGTGACCACCAACTCTCCCCATCTGGGAGTGGGCGGTCACTTAAGTAACAGGGTTCATACAGGTCTTGGAAAACCTGGAAAGTCATGGAATTTAAGGATTTCATTTTCCAGGCCTGAAAAGTCATGGAATTTTGTTTTCGGTCATCGAAAGTCATGGCAAATTAAAGTTTTGTTTGATAGATCAGTTACTGCAGATGATAAGGCGAAGACAGTGTAAGATACAGTAATATAGAGAGGAGTAATGAAACAGTGCTAACAGCATGCATTTTGGTGGACACCAGAGTTTGTGTCTGTTGAACTGTTTAAGGTCAAAAAATACCCTAAAACAAGGAAAGTTTTGAAAATTTTTGAAAGTGACAGCTAAACCTAAAATTATGGAAAACTTGAAAAGGTCATGGAAAAAGCCACGGAATTTGAAGCCCTCAAACGAGTACGAACCCTGAGTGAGGTTTGACTGTGTAATTCAAACATGCAGTTTCATTTAACTTGATGCCAAAATAGAATATCACTACTACAAATGATTGATCAAGCGCCACTACTTGAATAAGCCCCGCTCTCGAATAAGCGCCACACCGTTATGGAAAAAAATTAATAAACATTGCTCTTGAGTAAGTGCCGCAGCAGGTATTTACAAATTAATGCCCAAACTTTGTTACGGCGCTTGATATAAAGAGATATCAACACCATGTTGCTTGAGAAATAAGACCTCGACCAACTCGTGAGTTCTTAAGTTTTAATCTAGGGAAGCTCTTGAAACTGGGTTCATGTGACAGTTTGAGGTGTACATATTTTATATTAAATTGTGCATACCTAGTACGCACCTCACTTAATTCTCTCCTATTCCCGTAATCCCCTCAGTGTTTTGTCTGTAGTTGAAATAAGTGCCGCTGTCAAATAAGAGGCACCGCTCTCGTATAAGCGTCGCACCTATAACAGGGAAAATGAAGTAAGCGCCAGGGTGCTTAATCGATCATTTACGGTGCTCTTTGTGTTTTTTTCTGTAGTGCCAATAAGGTGAACTGTTTCCTGTGGTGAACATTTCCTTTATTCTAAAGACCTTTATATTCTAATTTAGCAGACTTTACAGGCGACTCCCAATATTACCTTCAAGGGAAATCAAAAAAGGTTCGAGTTATCGGAAGTTTGCTTCCAATAACCAAAAATAAGGAAATGGGATGTGAAGGAATGCAAGTCCCATGCACACTTCACTTCAAGGGCAGCAAGAGATAATTTTGATATTTGGGAAAAAAAAACAAGACGAAAAAGACCCCTGTCACTGTTTGTACTTAAAGGGCTTCTTTTTTCTTGTTTCACGATAGCTTGTAAATGAAGCTGCAAAGTTTAGATACCGTTCAGGAAATCTTTTTAACTGTGGCAGCCTTACAGTGCGAGCTCCTTGTGGAGCTGTGGGGCATGGTGCACATTATCATTCTCAGTCAGTGGAGAGCTTCTTTGCTCATGTACCAGGACTAAAGGTACAAGTTTTTTTGTTATCTTTGTTTAGTTCTCTGTAGTTCATTTTCACCCATTTTCACACTGGAAATGCCAACTGAAGCTCTACTGGATGGTCAACAAAATTGGTAAATTTTGGTGCAAATAATCTGGAACCCTTTCCCACCCCCTCCCCCAATCACATATAGTTCATTTGGTTTGTTTTAGTTATCTTGAATATGGCACAATGTTGTTCAGGGTGGAGGTGAGGATTGGGGGAGGTTAGGCTTTATTTATGCCACCAGCATGTAAGTAAATTAGTAATTAATTTATTTCGAAAGCCAAATGTGTGCCTAGGTTAGCTTGAAGTTGCAGTCAACGTGGCATTTGTTCCAGAAGTCTGATCTAAATTCGTTTTTTTATGTGTGAGGATTGCTTTGTGTCAAGCATTTTTCCACGGAATGAGAGTCAAAAGGTGTGCCTTTTGACTTAATTTGTATAGGTTTTCGTACTTGCATGCATGTGTGTTTGCGTTTGTTATGCTTTAAATATATATTAACTATTTCTGTAGTCCATTTTGTGGTTTTGCATGCTAAATGATGTTTTTTTTTTTTTTTTTCATATTTTAGGTTGTCATTCCCAGAGGGCCTATTCAAGCCAAAGGACTTCTAATTTCATCTGTCAGAGACAAAAACCCAGTCATCTTCTTGGAACCCAAGATCCTGTACAGACAGGCAATGGAAGAGGTGCCAGTTGCAGAGTATGAGATATCACTCTCAGAGGCTGAAATACTTGAGGAAGGTGAGCCTAGGCTTTGATTTTGGTCGCAATTTTTGCTTCAAGCAGAGAATTGACCATTTTGAAACTACTCAAAATTGTGCAGGATCACTGATGACCCATAAACAGGGCGTAAACTTTCTGTTATTTTAAATTGCTTCCAAACATGGTGGCCCAGGGGAGCAAGGAGGGTGCACAGGGAAGCAAGAAGGTGATATGAAGGGAGGCAATGATGGTGTAGGGGAGCAAGGATGGAGCAGAAGAGGTAGGATGGTGCAGTGGAGCAGGGATGGAGCTGGGGAGCGGAGATGGAGCTGTGGAGCAGGGATGGAACTGTGGAGCAGGGATGGAACTGTGGAGCAAGGATGGAGCTGGGGAGCGGGGATGGTGCAGGGGAGCGAGGATGGTGCTGTGGAGCAGGGATGGAGTTGGGGAGCAAGGATGGTGCAGGGAAGCAAGAATGATGCTGTGGTTAAAACACTTGGCTGTCACTGATGTGGCTCAGGCTCAATTCCTGGCATCAATGCCATAATGATTTGTTGGTTGTCTTCTTTGTTGCAAGAGGTTTTTCTGCAGGTACTCTGGTTTTCCCGTTCTTCAAACACTAAACTTGTACATTCCAATTGGACTATAATTATTAGTAAATCCCTCAATCCCATCCAGAAATGCCAATAAATAATTACTTTAGCTTCATGCTTTCCTTACAGACTGAGCCTTTCTATGCAGTCTCCAAACTTATCATTAAACAGTAATATTTCCTAAATTTGAACCAACCAAGGATAAAGTTTGATCGCAACATGTACACTGGGTACTAGTGGGAGAGGGAAAAAGTATACCTCTGTGGTCAGCCTCCTTGCCCCTGCCCCCCCTCTCTCTTTGACTCATCCACCAGTACCCAAGTGAATTCTAGTGCTCATGTGTTAACAGAAGACATAATAGAGTACTAAAGTGATGACGTTAGCCAGTTATACTCAGAAAACTCCATACAAACCCTTCTAATTTTTTTTGGGTCGACCCCAAAAAAATTTAGAAGGGTTTGTAGGGAGTTTTCTAAGCATAACTGGGCTACGATCTCAGAGACAATTTGCCCCGAAATGCTCATTTTTGGCAAGTAGGCCTCTTGGACATTGTTCTTTCAGAATATCCTGACAAATCCCATAATTTCAGAAATTTCATTTTTATGACGTCATCACTTTAGTACTCTATTTGACCGCAGGATATGTACAGCAGGGCTGTCACCAAGGGTCGTAGACTTGGGCTTTTCCCCGGCCACTATAGGCATGTCCATAGTCTACGTTCACAGAAATTAAAAGGAAAATCGTACCACATGTGTTACCAGAAGACATGGACTGCAGGGTATGCAGGGCTGTCACCAAAAGTCGGGGACCAGGGTTTTCTCCCGGCCACTTTCATAGGAATTCAAAGGAATTATAGTGGTACAGTCGTACCTCCGCTGACGGCTACCTCTCTACAACGGCCACTTTCTTCCGTCCCCAAGTGGCCGTTGTAGAGAGGTTCAACTGTACCAAAAGAACTCCCTAGCTGTTAAGTTCCCCGCCTAATAATTGCATAAACGCGGCAACTGGAAATCATGGCAACAACATTGGTATGGTGACCAGTTTGGACTAAAAGTGCTTGAGATAGTTTTGAGACGCACTATAGATCCTGAATACAAGTCCTTTTTTGACAAATTTAATTTGATTTCAGGTTCTGATGTGACAGTTGTGGGATGGGGAACTCAGGTGCATGTCCTACGTGATGTCTGTAAAATGGCAAAAGATGAGCTCGGTGTCAGTTGTGAGCTGATAGATCTTCAAACAATTCTTCCTTGGGATGAAGAGACTGTCATTAAGGTATCTTAAAATACGTAGCTTGAATTTGTTTGCCCAACAGCACACACTTCCTTTGGTTGCTTCAAGGTCATGTGACATGTAACAATAAAACTGTTTCCCACCCTAAAGTCTCTGAAAGAGCGAAACAACACATTCTTTGATGTGTGAGCAATTACAAATGTTAAAAACTGCTTACTGAGATTTACTGTCATAAGTTTCAACACGTAGAAGTTTTTCTTTGTGGGCTGCTATAACAAATCTCTTAATAACCAGTCCCCTGGGAAAAGTGTTAATTTTGTTTCCTTCAGCTACACCTCGGGAAACTTTGAGATTCCCATGGAATTGTCTTTAAGTGTCCATTGTTGTTTGGAATTTTAAAAGTGTTCTGTCATTGCGCAAGGGGTATAATCAATAAGACACCCTTTTAAAAACTAGAGTTGCATTACACAAGTCAACCTTAGTATCAGTGCTTTGATGAAAAAGGTGTCTAAAAGGACCAAATGGTTTTGTGTTTTAGTCTGTTCTAAAAACAGGAAGGCTTCTAATAGCACATGAGGCTCCTTTAACTGGTGGATTTGCTGCAGAAATTGGCAGTACTGTACAGGTAATCACTAGTGAACATGTCACGTATATCTTATTGGACGGTTTAGTGTGTAGTATCGTGGAATATTTTTACGAGTCACACCGTATTTTGGCGAGCCCGTAGGGTGAGTCAAAATACAAGAGACGAGAGATGATTTAAAATAAACTCATTAAATACGTAAAACGAGAATGTGTAACAGACTAACGTGACTCCTTTGCAAGTCCAGTTTTGCGTACACTTTATGCAACGTTGTTGCTGATTGGTCTAAAATGAAAACTAGATTACTTAGCAAATCAAATTTTCTCGGATTTCTCTGTTTTCTTCGGCGCTTAGGGGTGCTGTCTGTTAGACATTTGCAAGGAAAACAGAGATAGAATGACAAATTATTGTGAGGCTTATGCATGATAAAACCGACTGCAAGAAGGTAAACTGGGCCGAGAAATTACGACGGAAAGCTAAAAATCTCCCTCAAATTCAAGGAGTTTCAAACAGCTATTATACTCGTAAACAACGGCCTTGAAACCTCATGGAGAAAATATGTACGCATTTACACATCGGGTACCCACGATGTGATTACACATACATTACCATGTTCTTCCAGTAAACAGACGCCAGTGCTCCCCTGGTCATTGATCGACTTTCTCAAGCTTCACGCTCGTTCCCGCGACGTCGTCGCTCAAACAAGTAGACATGAGGGCAAAATACAAGCGCCAAGTGTGAGCTTGTCCTAAGTCGAAAAAGTCTGGGAGAGGGGCCCATAATCCAGAGCAACTCGCTATCACACTAGGCTTATGTCTCGACGTTTTCACCGACCGGTTTATTTTTAGATATATTTTAGTGCACTTCTTCCCACGAAAATGGAAGCTCTCCTCCTTCTATGAGCGTATATGAAATAAAACACATCAAAATTAAAAACTAAACGTCATTAAAAGGTCCAAAATACCATTTTTAGGACTGTAGGAATTGTTTACTGGTTTGTGGGACTTATAAAATATTGTAAACTCGCGCCAAAGTTTCCCACTCCAGGTTATGGATA